CTTGCTGCAAAGGGCCTACTACTTTTCATGTATATATATCTAGCCGGATTTTTGAAAACGTTACCGCCAAATGGACCTTTTGCGTCCAACAGTTTGTTTTTCGTCCAAAGTAACCATTATGAAACCTAAGAGTGCAACCATTACTTTTTTCTCTTCTCCTCCTTTCTTCCTCCACGCTCTTTCTCTTTCTACTTTCCTTTTCCTTTGTCTTTCGCAAAAAAGTTTTTGTACTTAGCCTCGTTTTGAAATTTACAGTTATTGAAAATTGGAAATGACTTTTTAATTTTGACCCTTTGCACTTCGTAAATTTTGCGTGTATATATGCACGTGAATAAAAATAAATTTGGAATGAACAGTGTTCTGGAATGTCTCCTTCGGTATAAAGATTTACGTGTTTAAACAAAAAAGAAAAGTTTAAATATCAGCCTACCAGTAGGAAATTTCAGTAGAACACCTTTTACTGACATTAACAACAACTTTCAGGCAATTTGATATTCTGCTCTTATTGTAAAAGGTGTTACTACTTAGCAATTACTGATGATCCCCATTTGCATGGTAAATTGGGCTTATTTCCGAATGCTTCAATTTGGATATCTTGTTTCCTTTTTTAACACTATATTTTTCATGGCATTAGTTAAACACTATTCCGTTGTCTGTTTATCTTTCTCTGTTTGATTTAGCAACTATATACTTTGAATTTTTCATTGAGGCCCAAGCATGCGGACTGAGAAAATTTATTCAATTAAAGTAAAATAGAGCGCTGAAGCTAAATTAGAGAGAGTTTTAGCTGCTGCTTTTCACCAGCTCTTTTCTTGAAGCTGGAATATTTTAGATAAAATATTTATGTATTATCATAATTCAAACAGACCTTTCGTTGAAAAAGGTACATTAGTCATTTTTCCGAAAAGAAAAGAGAAAAGAAAAGAAGTTCCAAGCAGGCATAATAGGGACACTAAAAACATGCTAATCTTCCGTATGGCAAAACCAGTATTATATAGAATTGTTCATTGAAAAGTTTCGCTCCCTGGCTAGCTGGGCAAGTTTTACAGCCTAGCTGTCCTCTTTTTGTCGTCGTATAGATTCCTTTATAAGGGTAAGTACAAATGTTGTGTGAGTTAACTCATGAGAGGAGATTCAGAATCTAGAAATATTCAATAAACTTCACCGTGCAATAATCCCAGTAAAGGGAATAACAGAACAGCGTGAGTCAATAAACAAATCCTTTCTTTCATGGGGATATAATCCAGGGATCAAAAAATATCAAAGATTTTGTTTGATGCCTCGAGTGGCTCTCTTATTTCTCAAGCACAAGCGCTAATGCTCATTGACGTTTATGGTTTAATCTCATGATCACCACAGAGTTCAGTTCTTCGATTCGCATTCTTCTCTTTTGGAAAAACTGAAATTGAAACTATAGTTCATGTAATAGCGGGCAAGGATTTTAAACAGCTGACTTACCTGCAGCGAGTCACACTCCTTCATCAACAGGCGTTCATTTCCACTTTCGATAGCTTCCAAAAGTCCTAGTGAATAATCTAAACATTCTCGAATCACGTTCACTTGACATAGTAGATCTTCTTCCGAAGAAACCCAAGAAGTGCTCTTTTGTACTTGGTAAAACAACCCCGTGAAGAAAACAATATGTAAATATAGCATGTTTGACAATTCGTTAGGCTCTGACCAATTTCAGTCTACACTTGGTAGCCGGGTGAAAGAATGGTCATCCAGTTTTATAACCGATCTTTTAAATTTTCTCTTAATAGTGTGAATAATTGATTGGGGAGTGATTGAGTGAATGACATACAGCTATTGGTTGTCGGTTAAAGGTTGTCGGGAAAAGTGCACTTGACAATCCTGAAAGGCATTGTGGGTGGTTTTGAGTTCTCTTGTTTTCAAAGACATTTGAAAGAATTGACACGAAAGGCCATGGATATGTGTTTGCGAGTGCTAAAGGAAAGCAACAAAAGTAGTCTTCGACAGCTACAGTCGTCGGGAACAGTGTATTGATCATATCCCATATTACCTTTCGAGATTGTCGCGTGCACATTTTTTCCGACAACCTTTCTCGAAATAGCTGTATACGGATTAAGGCCTGGATCTAAGAACAACAAGATTTACATAACAAAGCAGGAAGGTTGTTAACTCCAGCCGCGTTTCACCTGTAACTATAAAATGGAATATTCCGACAGAGCTGAATGACGTAGTTCGCATGTCCGTGACATCACTTGTTTACCCAATCTCGACCCAGAGCTCTTCTGCGCATGTAGATGCGCGCATTCCCAAATCCGTAAGCACTGTTGTTTACTAACCACAACCCCTGGCAACCCGCGCGCGAAGCACTTGTGCGAAGTAAAATTCATCTGAGACCATTCTGAGACCATCTTCGACCATCTGTGAAACTCATGTTTGTGAAAGCTAACGAAGGAGAATATTTTTTTACCAGCAGGCATCGATTGTATTCCCTACCCATGCATTTACTCTTTTCAAAATTATTTCATTG